CGTTCTCCGTTTTACACCCCCGCCCGGCCTCATGCACGCATACAAAAGGAAGAAGAACTCCCGAGTTTTACACAGTGTCTCCTCTCGGCAATGGCGCATTCAGACGCGCCGGTAAACGGCGACAAGTCGCTAAGAGACTCGAGATATTTATGCGAAATGTCTCGTATAAATACCGCGGTGGCCGTGGAACGAACGACTCTAGTCGAGTGCGAGTTTGTGATTTCAATACCGGTTGTGCTATATAATACTGCAAGAAACTCCTTATTATTTCGTCAGATTAACCTGAACGAAATTGAAAGAATAAAGTTGTGATTTCTTTGGAAACGCAACTGAAATATGCTAGAGAGAATTCATCAACAAGTAAAAACTATACCCAAAGTTTTCTTCTATCTTTTTAACAAAATTCTACTTAATACTTATTGCGCACTAGAAACCATAGTAATATAATAAATATAATGCAGAAATTAAATCGAGAATCCAAGTTTTAAGACTTCAAAAACATTTCGCGATGACAAAAGAGAAATTAGAAGTACTGGCAGAAAAAACAGAAATATATTACAATATAGTAGTAAATTCTAAGAAAGTGTAGTAGTAAATTCAGAAAACTATGAGTAGATACAAAATTAAAGGAAAATTGATTTTCTAATTAATAATTCTAATAATAATTCATGTTATAAATTCTTAAAATATTTCTGGATATCCATTTGAATGTTTTAAGATTTAATAACTATTTTAATAACATTTCCAGTTTAATTTGGCAACGTGTCGTTCAGTTAATCGATTAATAATAGAAAGATTCTATTGTAGAAACCTCTTTTAAAAGTTTTAGATATTCACACGTTTATTGAAACGTTTATTAAAACAAAAGTTCGTAAGCGCATTACGACCTTCAAAATTCGAGCAATTTCGAGTAACTTTGTTAAAAATGAACAATATTTAAATTTTCGAAAAGCGTTTTTATCTTTAAAATCTCTATTTTCGAAAAGTCACGATGTCTTTTGTGTTTTTATGAGGTTGGTAATTTTTATATATAGAAAACTACAAGTTGGATAAGACAAGAAATTTTTTCTCATTTTGTAAGTCTGTCGCTTGCCTAAAAAGACTTGCGAAAATTTTCGACTTTCTAACGTGAAAGCTTAAAATTTTCCTTACAAAATTGTTTGTTTTAATGTATGTTCCTAAGATTTCTTATTACTGAATTAAATAAAAGGAGCATTGACTTTGATTATCGTACCACAATTAAAAAAATAGATTCTTAAAGCTGAAATTTTGCTCTGTCGAACGGTACAGCTGACAATTTTTTTTTTAAACATACAAACATAATGCAAATAAAGTAGCGCTACGAACTTTTGTTCCGACCCAATATTTAGTGTCGGTTTCCTTGCATGCCACCTTGCAAGATTGTGCCCTATTTTCCCTGCGATCTCCATGCTGATTTCAAATCAATCATTGTTGCACGCGCTTGTCCCGTGTAGCACCGAACTTGGCGACGAGGCCACGGTTGTTTCGGACCTCGCGGTGCAACCCGGTGCAAAGCAGCACGCGAGGTAAACCACCAGCAAAGTCCTTTGTATTTGCCTTGCGAGCTAAGAACTCAAACCGGACGCATCGAAGATATTTGACTAACGAGGAGAAAGTCACGTGTCTCATTTAGCGCAGTAGAAATTCGACAAAGGGGAGAAATAAACGGACTCTGGATATGTATTTTGCGCAAACGCCAACTACGTTGTAGGAAATATAGTAAGGGCGGAAACAAGCAAGAGGAATGTTCTCTCTCTCTCTCTCTCTCTTTAACGATGCCGTTTGTTCGCAACAGAGCCAAAGGGTTGAACGACGACGTTCGTTGTCTTTGATACTGACTGACAACGCCCTGAACATGATTCGATTACACGCGCGCGAGGAGATAATCACTAGCTGAAATATGTATTGTCCCACAGATTACATGATTTCATTTGATTTCGTACGATTTCATCTGATTACAAATAATTTTCTTCACTACATATGGAGTCATTTGGTAAAATAAACAATCTTATCTAATATTACACAATAATTTCATTTCCCATGATTACATATGTAATTATCGGATTATACAGGAGGATTTCTATAAAGGAGAATGTTAAAAAGAGGCCGATTTTTGCCCACAAAGGTGTAAGTAAAAGGAATAACGTTTTTGGTAAATTTTGACCTCCTGAATACGATAATGTTAATAAAAAATTCGAGATCGATAGGGAACACCTTGAAAATGGAGCCTGAACACGATATATTTAAAGAAGTTTCAATATTCTTGTTTACTTTTCAAGATGTTCCCCAAATACCACCAATTTTTTAATAATTTTATCATATTCAGGAGATCAAAATCTATAAAAAACACTATTTCTTTTACTTATATTTTTTTGAGCACAAAAGTCCTTTTTTAATATCCTCCAAAAAAGGACAGATTTTTGTCCAAAAAGATGTAAGTAAAAGAAATAGTATTTTTTGTAGATTTTGACCTCCCGAATATGATAAAGTTATTAAAAAGTTCGTGGCATGAGGGGAATACCTTAAAAAGTAAACATTGAAATTTCTTTAAATGTATCATGTTCATGCTTAATTTTCAAGATGTTCCCTATCGATCCCGAACTTTTTATTAACATTATTGTATTCAGGAGGTCAAAATCTATAAAAAGCGCCATTTTTTTACTTACATCTTTGTAGGCAGAAATCGACCTCTTTTTAACATCCTCCTTTATAATGATTTTTTGGGGACATTGTCCCACGATTACATTAAGTGATTACCTCATCGCACGCGCTTGTACGTGTGCGTACTACGTGCGAATCACGCGCAAAATAAACAATTACGTCGAATAACCCCGATTTTTTAATCCAGTTACGATCCAGTTACGCGAAAGTAAGAGCCGCGGACAGTCTACGTTTCTCCGCGTAACGACTGCACGCCGTAATTGTATATTGCGGCGTTCCAACGTAATCGCCACACACAGAAGCGTGAATCTCAACCAATCGCGCGTACATTTACTCGTAATTCAGTAACAAAGTTACGCAGTCGACAGAGGAGATCATTGCGAGTGGAAAGAGTCCATGTCTCGCGAAAGGTACACTGAAAAAAATGCTTGGTTGAAAATGGACCAGAAGATTATGATTATATCAATCAGAATTCCGGTTATTTCAATTATAATTCTAATAGATTTAATCAGAACATTCTGATTCCAATTTCAACCAGAATTCCAATTAATTCAACCAGACATTTTTCTCAGTGTACGCCGAAAAAATCATTCTCAGATAAATACGAGTACACTTGTGGCGAAAATTGAACTTGTGATTCTGTTAAGATACTTTATCCCAAATTCATGACAATAAGACACATCTAAGACAAGACAAATATTTAAAAATATTATAAAGAATTTAAAAAATATCTGGACGTTCTGCGAATCTTTTCTGTCTTTTAGTCATCATTATCACCGAAGACAATCATCATATTATAACGCAAGCATCTTAAAACAAGTATTAACTCATCATTAGCTAGCATTGTTTTATATATGTTATTCCAAAGTATGACAAATATCTAAGATAAGACAAACACCTGAAAGATCTTCTAAAGAATCTACTAAAGGACATTCAATATCTGGGCGTTCTTCGGAATATTATCTAAATTTTGTTAGTCATCGTCTTCAAAAGTCGACAATCGTCAAATTGTAACGCAAATATTTTAAAACATGATGTGTTAACTCATCGTTTGCTAGCACTGTTTTACAAATTCCTTCAAACCTTGACAATAAGATAAGACGATGATCTAAAAGATATTCCGAAGAATTTAAAGGACATCCAAAATATTTAGATGTTCGGACCTTTTCTGAAATGTTTTTCATTCATCATCTTTGGAAGCCGAAAGCAATCAACCATATTATAATACAAGGATCTTAAAACATATGTTAACATTGTTTTACACGTTACTTCAAACCCTGTCAAGACATAAGATAAGACAAATACCTAGAAGATATTCTAAAGAATTAAAAGGATATCCAATATCTGGATGTTTTTCGGACCTTTTTAATCATCTTTCATCGCCTTTGGAAGTCGAAAACAATCACCATATTGTAACGCAAACATCTTAAAATATTAACTTATTGTTTGCTATAATCTAATATCATTTTGTAAATAACAAAGGCAATATCCAAATATTATATACGAATAAACGAATTCAACCTCGCATATAAATAAAAGGTAATGCGCTTAATGATACTTGTTAAACAATTGGCAAATAACAAAGGTAGTATAAAAAAAAATTGAATATCGTATGAAAATAAAGGATTTTACAATAAATCGATCATTATGAGGATCGCTGGGCAAAAATACAGAATAAATAAAATGCAAATATTCTTGAATAATACGTGTACTTGATATTAACGATATTCCATTTACGGATTAAATACATAAAAGTCTGTAGAAGCATTCTGAATTCAGGAGCATCGCTACCACTTTTTCCCTTCGTTGTCAAAGCGACACGTTTTTACCGTGAAAAATTATAATGCGTCAAGTTTTGTTGCAACGCGTAACTGCGCGTAACTTCGAATCGATGGACCACGGCATTCCCAACACGAAGGACCTTGGATTTCGGAGCGAGCGGCGAAACGATGTCAAAAAGTGGTTGTTTCGCAACAATTCGTAACAGTAAAGCGCCACCCTTCGGCGGAGCCGCCGCTGTTGTTATTGTCGATTATCTGACACTTTGCTCCTGTATCAATATTCTATTTGATGACGAACGTGTCTCATCCCGCAGGATACGTCAAGGAGAGTCACGATTCTCTCGGATTGGATGATTGTTTCAGGGATTGGGTATAAGCTGTCATCGCGTATCTTTCGCCTCCACGAGCCGGAAGAAATGAAAGAAAAAAAAATAAACGAGCGACCTGTCAACGTCAACCTGTCGTCGCTCGTAATCCTTACACGACGACAAGTGTACGCGAGAGGGTGTCGTGTCGAGACGTCGTTTAGAAACTCACCTCTTCGGCGAATTCGAAATCACCGTCGAATCTCCTCTTGCATCTCACCCCCGTGGCCAGAACTAGCAGCACCGTGGCCGCGAGCATCCACGAGAATCGCATGGCTGAAACCGTCCTCCGAGTCCTCTCCTTATCCCCGGAACCGTCACTTACTTCACCGCGGAAGACGCTCGCGCGCGCGGCGCGACAGAACGAAAGTGAGAGAAAGAGAGGAAATCGGCACGCGCGAGTTACACCGTCAAACGGAGGGAGGAAATATCGGGGCGGTTAACGCGGACGATGCAACCGATGATCGACGTCCGGCGCACGCGAAACTCCGACTTGACGTGTATGTATTATCTGTATGTGTATGTTACGCGACGCTTGACGCGGAACAGAAACGCGCAGCTCGATAGCCGAACGAGTTGTGCTGTGACCGCGCGAGGTGAGGCGACACCGTCACTGCCCCGTTGGTTCGTGCGCCGCCAGAGGCGCGCGCGTCGCGCTTGCTCATTGGTCGGATCTCGACGAATGGCGCGCGGAGAGGGGACCGGTAGCGCGCGCTACTCGCTTCCGCTCGGCTGTTATCGTCGCTCGCCGTGCACTTGTTTGTCCTGCATCGTCCTGTTCGGTTACTTTCGACACGGACACGCCGCGCCGCGTCCGTCGCCAGTCAATACCTCTTCCAGCTGCTAGTTCACCTACCTACCTACCTACCTACCTGATGTAGCCCGTGGCTCTGATGGAGAAAAAAGAAGAAAAGGGTTGAGGGGAATTTGTCGGAGAGGGACACCAGGGAAAAATCCAGTCCCACTCTCCCTAGACGATCTCAGCCATTCGACCTGATCGACTCTTTTTTTTTTTTTATTCTTCATTCTCTTCGTTACGATTGCCATTACTATCATTGTTTTCTCTTGTTACTTTACTAAATCGTAGTATTGCATCCCTTAAAGGATAAAAATACCTACAGTAAAAATACAGTAAAAATACAGTAAAAAAAAACTAGCTTTCTGGAGTAATTGGGTCTCTTGTTTACTAATATTCATAATGGTTCAAATCAACGTGGAATATTAAATTTTAGAATATATGTCAATACATATTTCAATTACTGTAAATTTATTAACAATGGTAACTTTAGATGTATATATATATATATATATAGAATTTAATACGTAATTCAATCGTGTTAATTTATAAAATGCAACTGCTTTAAAACTTAAAATTGTTCAAGTATTATTTTTTTTTATATTAAATATTTTTAAAAACATTAACAAAAAAGAAGAACACCTATAATAATATTTCAGTATTTTACAGTTTAGATTTATTACACATGCAAAAAAGTATACTCAATTTCTTAACATGCTTTTTGTGATCAAACAAAACGATGGATTATATTTAGTTTTCTTCTTCCATTTCCCAAAATATCCAGAAAATGCCGTTCATTTCGATCCTTTCAATAGAGACGGTAATTTGCTTTTATACTCTCGAGACCCAACTGAAGAATTTATCGCTCCAAAAGGCCACTCCACTTTGTAAGTCCAATGTGAATGCATGTCATGCGAATGTATATAGTTCCTAGTACATGTCAAGTACATTTTCGGAAAAGTACAAGTATTTCTTTAGAGATCACTGTCAGTGAAACATATTCAAAAACAGTCACGGTGAAGTACAAAAATGAATCTCTCAATTCATAATCAATCCATTTACTCAATCACGGCTTTTTTACATTTTTTGAAAAATACCGGGAAAGAGCATCTTTAATTATCCATCCAAATTTAAAAAAAAAAATAATGTAGAAAACACATAGATGTAAACTATGCATAGAATTGGAATGTCTAAATATTCTCAAAGTGATATATATGGGATAACTTTTGAAAATAATATGTCTGTACTCAGGTCAGTTTGTTTATTGTTTTATCTCTATATTTGGAAAAATACTGAAGAGAACTAATCGCGTCCTTTTAATCTAAGAAACCCATCTGCTCAGAACTATATAGCTACATCACAACCCATAATGAGATTATATTTCTTTCTTAGTCGAAACGTACCGCTATGGATAATATCATAACGATATACATGCGGAGCATATCCGAAAAGTGCTTGTATAAACATCTATCCTATGTTATTGAATTTATATATTTCATGTATCTATATATATTAGGAGACAAAAACTAATAAAAACAAAACAGTAGCACCGCATATATATCAAAATATTTAAATGCTATTTATAATTATTAAAATGCAATGAAAAAATGATGTATCGATGTAAAAGCAGCAAAATGATAAATGAGAAGGAACTCCATGTTGAATATGAATAAACGGAGTAGCCGACTTCGCTAGTTGTTAGAATGAAGATATCCGTCTCATCTTCATTTAAGATGTACATAATGCCACTTATCGACTGAAATCATACATTATAAAAATAATTCAATGAATAAATATTTTAATTCACATATATTCAACATCAATAATATCTTCATATAATTCAAATATTCAAAAACTGAGTGCAATTTTTAATTCCCATCATAATTGTTACAATTTGGGATGTACGAAGTAACATTTGTCAACTGAAAGTGAAGAGCATTAGAGCATTATAAATATCATTGTATATATAACTAAGTAAAAAAAAGCTAATGAGAGAATTATAATTCTCATTCATTTTTCAGAAAATTTACATTTCTTTCTATTCTGTTACACTTGAGTTACCTACCTATCGGTTCTACAGGTTGAGGTTCCACTGGTTCAGGTGCCTTGTCTAAAATTTCTTGTGCATTTTCTGTGGTAATCTTGAAAGGACTTCCCTCCACTGTTACATTAGAACTGCAAAAATATTACATAGAATAACATCTAAATTATTTTATCTAACAAGACATAATTTAAAGACTAATTTTTACGAACCATTCTATTTCACTAGATGAACCTTCCTGTTTAATCAAATTTTGCCAATGTTGATGTACTTCATCAATGATGTGTAGGGCAAATTCTCGTGATTTTGCTTCACCATTAAATGCAAATTGATTTTCTGGTTTTCCATCCGGAATTTTATATATCTTAAACCATTCAATTGTGGCTTTCATTAAACCTGGATAATGCTTCTCAATGTCACTTATATCTGCAATTATAATTATCAAGTTAGTAATATATATCACTTATATCTGCAATCATAATTATCAAATTAGTAATATATGTCACTTATATCTACAATCATAATTATCATGTTAGTAATATATGAAAAATTTATTTAAATTTTTTATGCATATTTAAGAACTTAGTTGAAAGAAATATATTATATGTATATCAAGTATTCTCTTAATAAATACGAATTGTAATTACCATTCATTTGATCTGCCAAAGGATCATTAACATCAATTACAATAATCTTCCAATCAGTTTCGCCTAAAATAAAAATTGTTCATAATGAAACATACATATTGTACGTAATACTGCATTTATTTTATTTGCACATAAATTATTCTAATATTCTATATATTTTGGTACAAACATTAATCTAATAATTTTAATTAATAGATAACTTAATTAGCTAACCTTCATCAATAAGTGCTACTGTTCCAAGAACTTTTACTTTTAATATTTCGCCTCGTTTTGCAACCTACATAAATGCAAATATTTTCATCAATTATTATAATCAATTACAATTATTAAATTATTACATGACAAATAAAATTATTTAAAATGTCACTGCAATGATTTCTCACCTTATAGCCTATTTCAAGAACATCAATAGGATCATTGTCACCTTTGCAGCCTGTTGCTTCGTCCAAAACATCAGGATTTTCCCATGTCTGTTAATTATATTATTTAGTAAAATTATCTATATTACAATAGCAAGAGAGATAACAAATTATAATATTATATATTATAATAGCTTTTAACAAGAGATAAAAGACAGTATTTCTTTTTAAGAAACCAGGAAACAAGATAACATTTCAAAAGTAATAAAAAGGAAATGATTGATAAGTCTAAGTGTATACCTTGATTACAAGTTCACATATACATATGCACAAGATATATGAACATGAGATAAGAAAATGTGTATATATGTGTATGTATATATATATAGATATATACTTAGTGTCTGTTTAATGCAACTGTTAATACTTCCTTTTATTGTGTTCAGATAATAAATCATTGAGATCATCATTGAATCATGCGTATTATCATAGAATGTATAATAGTTTATTTGGACAAGTAATAGATATAAAAGAATGTGCTTCATAGAAAATGTGCGAAACATATTGGCCTGGTTTATACCGTGCGCTTAGTCAGTGGCCAATACGATAGACGTCTTTGTTTCATCTATAGGTTAAACAAGGATGCCTATCATATAGATTGCGGACTAAGCGCATGGTGTAATCGTAGCCATTATTACGTTTCTTAATATAAACAAAAGTGCTGTAAATGAAATATTTTTAAAAATCAAAGTTATAAGCATAAACTTTTTTTCATTTCGTTATAAAAAATTCTTTTTATTTTTCAAATTTTCTAAAGTTAACTTTTATATTTTACATATAATTTGTATGTTTTAGAAAACTATACTATGATTCATTTTAATTTTAACAGGCAAATATTTCCAAAAAATGCAATTTTACTAAAAAAAAACCTTCGAAATAAAAGTTGCATAGTATAGAGTGGGACATTCAATGATGACATCCATTTCCATATCATACAATTTTTATTTGGAATGTTGTTTGGTAAAATTGCGTATTTTCGAAATATTTGCGTATATTAAGATTAAAATGAATCATTCTGTATATGTGTGTGTTCTACAAAAAGAATTTTTTGTAATGAATAAATATTATTCCACTGAGATACAAAGAAAAATAAAAAACGGATATTAAAAGAAGCGATTAAATAACAACAAAGTTACTAGAATTCCAACCTGGGGCAAAGCTCCATAATTCCATATGTAGCCATGATGAGGGAAACAATTAGCAACAAATCTCAATTTGTCCTTCTTAACATCCTGCTTAATGGGATTCAAACTCTCTTTAAGACAAATTTCCATTTTAGCGTTTGTCCATCTTGGTATTTCAACAACCATATGTAATGTCTTGTTAACTTCGTTGGCAAAGAGAGGAATGTCATGCATGGGCGAGATTGGGACATCCTGATCATTTTCTATACATAAGAATAAAAGAATTTTTTTAAATACTTTAAAAGAAATATTATTAAATATTATTAATTCAGAATAGTATTTCTGTTATTTCATATAGTAATTCAGAATATGTTGTGCAAGAATATATCAGAAAAATCTCTGGTACAAAAAAAGACGATATAAAACTTGATGAAAATATGAATGTATAAGAACATATGTCTAGAGCATGATTATAACTACTTCCTCATTCATAAAGCCTATAAATATCTACTTTCACTGGAGCTAAATGTCATAAGTCATTGAATTAAATCAATGCACGAAATAATGCGGGTATCGTCGTCTACGAGCGAC